GAATAATATTTCTGACAATACTCCTGAAAAGCGTCTGCCAAATTATGATTTAAAAGAAATCATAAACAGGGTTAATAATCCAATTTCAGTAACTCAAGAAGTTACTATTTCAKATTTAAAATCTGAAGTAAATTTATTAAAAACTGAAATTTCAGATTTAAAACTTAGAATGTTAATTATAGAACAAAGTAATGTTCTACATAACATTGAAATACTTTCTCCTAAAAGGAAAATTGAAGATGGAGAACCCTCTTTTTCTAAAGATGATTTTCCACCTTTATCCTTGAGTATTAATATCAATCTTCTTGACAGAGTTATTACTCACAAATGGTATATCAAGATTACTTTAATTGTCAATAAAGAATTTATTCTTGATACCATTGCTATGGTTGATTCTGGTGTAGATTTAAATTGCATCAATGAAGGGCTTATACCTTCAAAATATTTTTCTAAAACAAAAGAAGCTTTGAATACTGCAGATAATACCAATTTGAAAGTAAAATTTAAATTATCTGATTCAGTTATCTGCAATAAAGGAATTTGTTTTCAAATGCCTTTTATAATGGTTAAAAACCTTTCGCACAAAATTATACTGGGGAATCCATTTTTACATATGTTATATCCTATTCAACGAATAGATGAAAAAGGAATTCTCAGTAATATTTCTGGAAACGAAGTTCTTTTTGAGTTTATTACAACCCCACAATATCATGAAATTGATATTGTAAAAAACCATATACAGTCCAAAGAATTATTTCTTAATTCTTTGACATATGATATTAAATTGCAAAGAATATCACAAGAGGACCATCCCGTGGCTTATTTCAGTAAAGGATTCTCCCCATCTAACCGCTTTAAATCGGCTTACGACAGGGAGCTATTGGCATTAGTCCTCGCGGTCCAAAAATGGAGCCATTACTTGCTTGGCCGACATTTTCTCATTCGCACCGATCACTATACCCTTAAATTCTTATTAGAACAACGCATCACCACTACAGAGCAGCAAAGGCTTTTGCTAAAACTCATGCCTTATGATTTTTCAATTGTTCATAAGGCTGGGAAAGAGAACAAGGGAGCAGACGCCCTGTCTCGCCGACCCCACTCGGGAGAATTATTAACCCTTATCATCCCCTTTGGATTTACATATACAACATATATCACTTACAACATATATCACTGTCAAGAGGTAATTTCTTAGCATTTGTGTTGATGAGGTAGTTGATATCAAGGCAGGGTTGCAAACTGATTCATTTACCAGCGATCTGATCAAGAAGTTGCAAACAGATCCTTCCTCCGTCCCTGATTTCTCGCTGGTGGATCAGCTTTTGTTTCATCATGGACGGATGGTGATTCCGGAGATGCACAATCTCAAACTCAAGCTGTTACAAGAAGCACATGACACTCCAATCGGTGGTCATGGAGGTTTTTTAAAAACCTACAAAAGACTCTTCTCGTTACTATTGGCCAAAGATGAAACAGGATGTCATGGAGTTTGTCCAGCAATGTATAATCTGTCAGCAACAAAAGTATCATACGTTGGCTCCAGCAGGATTACTGCAGCCCCTACCCATTCCCAATCAGATTTGGGAAGATGTTTCCATGGACTTTATCGTTGGATTACCACCATCTAGTCGTTTTGATACTATTTTAGTTGTAGTGGACCGTTTAAGCAAATATGCTCACTTCATTTGCTTATCCCATCCCTATACGACTAAAGGAGTAGCAGCGGTTTTTTGTAGGGAAATAGTTAGGTTGCATGGCTTTCCCCGATCCATTGTGTCTGATCGAGATGTTGTCTTCCTCAGCAACTTTTGGCAAGAATTGTTCTGATTAAGTCAGACAAAATTAAAGCTGAGCACAAGTTACCACCCTCAAACGGATGGCCAAACCGAAGTTCTGAATCGCTGCCTAGAAGCTTACTTACGTTGCTTTGCTAGTGAACAGCCAACCAAATGGAGTACGTACTTACCTTGGGCCGRATACTCATATAACACGGGGTACCACACGRCCACTGGCACAACACCATTCTCTRTTGTGTATGGTCGAGAACCCCTTTCGTTGTTCCCCTATGCGGCGGGCGAAACAAAAAACGCAGAGCTGGAACAACAATTAGTTGATCGGGATGATATGATAAAGCTTMTTCGCCAAAACCTCYAAAAGGCCCAACACAGAATGAGAAACCAAGCAAATCAGAAGCGACRGGAACTCACGTTTCAGGTYGGTGATTGTCTWCTTGAAGATTCAACCGTATCGCCAAAAGACTTTGGCTAAACRTCGTTATGAGAAGCTGTCTCCAAGGTTTTTTGGACCATATCGTGTYAAAAGAGCAGTGGGTCCAGTTGCTTATSAGCTGGAATTACCACCCGAAGCTAGAATCCACCCGGTATTTCACATTTYGATGCTTAAACCTKCCCATGGCTCTTTTTCTTCGGTACCAGATATCCCATTACCCATCACCAAAGACCGGGAAATTGATGTACAACCTAACTCGGTCATCACTCATCGATGGGTCTATGAAGCTGGCCAACCGGTCCTCGAATTGTTGATTTCATGGTGTAATCGACCTGAAGAAGAGGCAACATGGGAAACCTATGATCTAATGGCTGAGCAATTTCCTACATTCCGTCTTGAGGACAAGACGTTTTACCGGGAGGGAAGTAATGATAAAGATCCACCATTGAAAGTGTACTCAAGAAGGAAAGATCGAGTCACAGCTACAAAAATGGGACAACTGTATTCTATCTTTGGAAACCGGCTGAATCCTCTCGGTCAAATCACTGAATGATTTTAGGCAATCAATTTAATTAATGATCAAATCATTGGATGATTGGGTGTAGAATCCTTGCCTTAATTTCTACCCATAATTCTAGTATTTGATTAGTATAAATTAGTGGCTAGTTTTTCATGATTGGTATTGAGAATTACCTTTTAATTTCTTTGTTCTTGTAATCGGAGACCGTGCCCCTCTCGAATTGGGCCACTATCCTTTATTTCTAATAAAATTCAGCCTATTTTCATCTTCATCAATTCTGTATCTATCAGCATGTTTGATATTTTGTGTCTAATTAAATAGTGCAATACGTATAGTATATAAGTATTTATGTTATATATCTTATTAGGCTTTTTGTCTTGGCTCATTGGAGCACATTATACTCCTTGTTGTTCTTCTTTCTCTTTGACAAAGTACGGTTATGGTCCCTTTTTCATTTTATGATCTTCATATCATTAATAATTTAGTCCTAGTTACATATAAAAAATCATTATGACAAAGCATATCTTTGGGTTGTAAGGTAAAAAAAACAGTGGCTCAACAAAACCAAATATGTGATAACCATGCCTTGAAGTTTTGATCTAGCAAGATTGTTTGTTATTTCGAGTTTGACATTTACTTCTATAGGCTAGGCATGTAAGACACGGAAAAAGAACGTAAAGTCTGAAGCTTGTATGTCTAAAATTCTGAATCCCATAGCGTGTTACATAATCAACCAAAAAAACATAATAGTGCAAAGCTTACATTGTTGCGGAGATATGTTTCGATCTTCAAAGTTCAAGAACCTCCAGAAATCTTCATGTGTACTAGCTGTGCGCCATTGCCTGCAAACCTTAGCAGCTTTACAAAGATTGATGTGGTCCAGAAAAGAAAATACCTTAACAAGACAAAATTAAAGTATCAGCTAAGATTTGAACCAATGAAAACAAGTAGTTCATCAAAAAGATAAACAAGACACCCAAACAAGAAAAATAAAGAATAAAAGAAAGATGAAAAGGCAACAAATACCATATGCAACAAGTCATCAGTTAGATCCATTTTATTTTCTAGATCATCCATATCTGGGGACAAGTGGTCGTCTCCATTGGCCACCCAACTTGTAGAGTCAACAGTGTGGTCACTTTCTTCACCGTCAAATACCTGTGGTAGGTAGTGACCCACACTATTTAGCATTCTCTCATATTCTTCTTCAATCAAACCGAAAAGGTTGCCTTCTTGAGCAGGCACAGATACAAAAGGAATATCCCATTCCCTGAAAAGGTGTTGATAGTCATCATGCAAAATCAAAATACAGTCATTGATATTCAAAAGATCAAAAGTCACATTCAGATTGCTTTTATTTCGGATTAGCATTCACATCAATGTTCTGAAATACCAAGATTTTAACCTTCTTGAATCGCATTATGTTCTTTTGCTCAAAGAATACATGTGTTTCCTTGACAGTGAATGAAATATTGGAAGAGGCAAACACATAATCATGCATATAACAGTCAGCACAAGACAATCGCATCATTGGCCAGAACAAGAAGCATAGAACGTATTACACAACAGTACAAGAGAAGCATATTGAAGGGAAAAAGTTTATAGAAAGGAGGTCTCACAATGCAAAGGACCGAACTTTGGGACGTTTACACTGAGTGCCACTATCAGGACCATCTCTTTTGGGATCAGCCACAGCTGATGAAGATGAAGGCTCTTCTCCAGGACCCAAATTAAAATTAACATCCAAAGTAGTAGCAGTAGAAGAACCCTCCCGTGAACTACCCAACCGCAATTGAATGTTTTCTCCACCATCGTCCTCAGGGTCCTGAAACCCTAGGTCCGCATTTTTAACTCCTTCAAACTTAACGTCGTCCATACCGTTCTTTCCCAAGATGTCCTCCCTCTCTCTCATCATCTCTCTCTTCTTATTGTATTCTTCTTCGTCTTCTTCCCCGAAGCATGAACAACACCAAACCTTCATAAACACCCAAAATCCCCAAATTTGCAGTTTTGTTCTTTACAGCCTAGGTTGAGATCTCACACATTTTATCGTACAGCCTCAGTTTATTGAAAATTTGATGGAAACCTTAAAAACAAAATAGTAGTCCAATCAATACACTTGGCATAAAGCAAAATACTTTTTCTCATCGAACAATACTTGAACCAATTACAACTGAAGGATGAAATTTTTTGCCTTCCTATACACAGACATATGATCACGTATAGAGGGGAGAGAAATTACCAAGTGAAGATGTGATCACGCAGTTGTTCTTCGCCGTCGACCTTGGAATTGAATACAGAAATGAAATCCTGGCCTTTTCTATGCGTAATTCCACGGAGATTGGTCAGCTCTTGAGAGCAGTGATGAAATCCAAAGCGAAGATGCTCGAAAGTTCCATTTTCGTAGATCATTGTGAGGAAAGTGACTTGATATTCTAAATTTGTAAAAATTTATATAAATATGTCAACCCAAAATAATATCAAGGCGAAATATGGTGCGAACAGCAGAGTTAGGGGCTGTTTATCGAAATTCATGAGCAAATATTGACTATGGTAAAAAGTCTCATATAGAATCTTCATTTCACTTTATGGTTTGGTGGATTTACACCCCATCATAATATCTTTATTTATAAGTAATAATTATTTAATTATTTTTTAGTCAAAAATAATTTTTATAATCATTATTTAATAATACCTTTTATTTATTTCAATTTTTTAAATTATTGTTTAGTTTATAAATTGATTTTTTAAATTATAAAACCATTAATTTTTTTTATTTTAAAGGATTAAGTTATTAAAATAAAAAAAACCATATAAATTTCTAATTTTGATTAAGGGTAAAAACTGAATGAAAAAGTAACATAGTTTAACTTGATTCATATTTTGGGTAATGAACTTTCAAAACTTTCATTTTGATAACTGAGATGTAAAGTTTGCAACATTTAAATATTTAGGTAACCGAATGAAGTATTAACCGGTTAACATTGTGATGTGGTATCTAACTCGATATTATTTGTCGATATGAATACGTTAGTCAAAAATTAGTTTTTATGTATTGTGGTTTATTAGAAGAAAGAGTTAATCAAAACTTTCATTGTTGTTTTTTATTTTAAACGGTTTAATTTATAAATTGATTTTTTAAATTATAAAACCATTAATTTTTTTATTTTAAATAATTAAGTTTTTAAACAAAAAATTATTAAACTTTTACATTTTGAATGATAAAGACCCTGATTTTTTTAAAATAAATAAATAAACCATTGAATTTTTACTAATCGATTAATCTAAGCTTCTCTGGGTTAAAACGATATAAATAACCAATTTTTAAAGTTTTTTTTATTAAAAGTATGTTCACATACTTAATTAATCAAATGACAAATTACATGAAAAAGTAACATACTTTAATTTGATTTTTATTTTGGATAAAATATTTTCAAAACTTCAATTTTGCTACATAATATGTAAAGTTTTAAACATTTAAGTACTCGAATAATCGGTTGAAGCATTAACTCTTTCTTCTAATAAACCACAATATATAAAAACTAATTTTTGATTAACTTATTCATATCGACAAATAATATCGAGTTAGATACCACGTCACAACGTTAACCGGTTAATACTTCATTCAATTATCTAAGTACTTAAATGTTTCAAACTTTACATCTCGATTATCAAAATGAAAGTTTTGAAAGTTCATTACCCAAAATATGAATCGAGTTAAACTATGTTATTTTTTCATTCAATTTTTACCTTTAATCAAAATTAGAAATTTATATGTTTTTTTTTAATTTAAAAAATAT